GTCTGAAGATCAGATAGTTGGTATCTGTATACATTTTGTTTGTAAGCATTGCTGGATTGTTGTTGTGTGTGGTGGTAGAAACAAAGCCAAATTGAATTTCTAACATTTCTTGGAATTCTGACTGTCTTTTTTTTCCTCAATAATATTTAATTGGAAGGAAAAAAAATTCCCTCCATATTTTTTAAAATTTTGTTTATACTATGTACCACATCTGAATGATGTTGTCGTGTGTGTTTATACTAATTATTTCAGCAGGTTACAGTTATATGTGGCTTTCACATCTCACTTTCCGCTCTAAACCCTTTATGTACCAGTTAGGGATGAAACGGTACGAAAATTTCGTATAACGATTATAGTGACCAAAATTATCACGGTTATCAGTATTATCACGGTATTATAAAAATGTGCCAAAAAAGATTAAAATGTACTGATACACACACTGAAACCATGTCAACAAGTTTTATATTGAAAATTACAAATGCTATTGCCATTTTGTTTGCATAAAAAATAAAATAACAGCAAATACCTTTTGTAAACAAATGAAAATCATCTAAGTGTGCATTATCAAGATTTTGTATTTTATATTATATTTTGGTAATACAATGACCCCGTGCACAATTACATGAAAACAAATAAGTCTTTAGAAGAAAGTGATAGTAACTGCAATGAGCCCAAAAAACTGACATAAATACAGAGGAGTCTGTAGCGTTTCTAGATATGCTGGTTGGATGACTAAACTGCGTAACGCGTTATCATGTGCAGTGGATGAATAGTCTGCCGACACATGACGCACACAGCAACAGAACAACGTGTAGCGATTTTACAAGAGCAGCAACACTGAGAGCTTCAGTTTACACGCTGTTCGCAAGTCAGAGAGACAAACCAAAGCTAAAAGTTAACTCACCCTGCATTCACTGTAAGGTTATTTTCTTCAATCAAGTTTCCCTCAGCAATCTCATAAAAACTAAAATACGACCGGACTTCAGAGTGACTGATAAATCTCTGCAGCGTTGTCTTCCGCTGTGTTGTCATTGACCCAAACAAACCCACGTTGCATTCTGCGCATTGCGCGCCTGCGTCTGGGAGACACTGGACAGTGTTTGCTGTGAGATTATAATAGCGCGGTTAACAGTACCCGGTTATCATGGTAATTAAATCACGGTAATAATAACCATCGGAAATTTTACCATGGTTTACCGTTAAACCGGTAATCGTTTCATCCCTAGTACCAGTATTAATTCACTTTTTTATATTGAAGAGGGAAGTGCTATTTTAAGGCTGATTTAGTTCAAATTACAGTCTTTTGGATAGTACATGAATAGAATTTAAATGATTTAATTACCATTTTTCCCTTTTGGAGCGTGGAAAAGAAACTGATTCTTCCTGTATGAAACAGTAAAACTCAATATTAGCATTTGTGCTGAGCTGAAGCTCTTTCCCTTCCCATCACGGACTGTTTCCCAGACACTCGATCAGCATCCTTTTTCTTGAAACGATGTTTAAATGGGGCCAATATTTCCCTCAAAATGTCAGTTATGTGACTCTGAAACAGCACTTTGAATGAACTGTTGTTTTTACAACAATGCATAGAAAAGCAGTAACCAACTTAATTTATATTTACATCATATTTTTATACCAAAATGAAATTAGTGAAGAGATCTTTTCAGCATCATATGTGGATAAAATAGTTTATTTATTATTTGCAACAAAGAAGTGGATATGATGATTTGAAGTGTGGTGATGTGATCTCAGTTTTCCACAAATATTTCAGTAAGCTTTGAAGGCCGGCGTCTTCTTTTCCCCATTCTGGGGTGACTCATAGGAAATTGAAGCAGGCGTGAACAGGATGTTAATTGTCTGTGTGATCGTCCTACGTCACTGATGTTTGGCTCCAGGAAGTCTTTCACCCCTTTCTGTCACTCTGAAACTGATGGAGAGAGTATTGACAGCGTCCCTCAGTGGAGCAGTGTTGTAAGTAATGGTCATGGATCGTTGGGAGCGTGTTGAGCACAAAGGCGATAGATTACATGAACTTATCCAGGAGTGAAGGCCAGCTCGATGCCAGCTTATCAATGGACTAAGACCATAAATGACAGTGGCATCGACGTGGGCAGGGACGGGGGGTGAATGTCACACTGCAGATGGGGACTTGACGCAAATATCCAGTCATTTTCCAGATGCTAAAATTGTCACTAACCTTGTCAGTTGTAACACGTTCAAGGTGGTCTGACAAATGGCGGGTGTGGGGTTTTGGAGGTCTTGTTTAAAGAATGTGATTAAATACCATGAACTTTAACTTACTTAACATTTCAAGTAGGGCTGCGACTAAAGATTATTTTCTTGCTTTAATCTACAAAATGGCAAGAAGTCCACAACCCAAACTCACCAAGAAAACCAGAAAATATTTACATTTGAGAAGCTGGGAGAAGCGAGTCCTATACTGTACTGTGATCAATTAATCAACAGTGTTGTCTAATTTCAAGAGACCTTTTCAACTTGTTCAATAGAGATTATATAATTTGTTGAAACTTGACAGTTGCTCCGTAATATGTCATTACGATGACATGATGATTAGATGATGATGATTAATAGTGTTTGTGTTTTTGATGTGTTGCTTCCTGTCATCTGAAGTCATTTGTAATGTTTCACTGAAGTGGATGAACACTTTTCTTTTTACCACCATCTGCTGTTGAAGACTCTGAAAGCTTAATGTTCATGTTGATTTGGCCTGTAGAGAAATCCACTTGAATTCCGGCAACTTCTGACCTGGTGGTGACCAGTTCATGAATGCAGTGTTCTGATGTTCCTCTTTATTCAGTTACAGTATTACAGTGTAGAATTATTGGAATGTACTATATGTGGTATGATTTATTGATCTTAAAATGCTACAGGGAGCAATTGAATGACTTGTTCATTCATGTCAGATTGTGCTGCTTGTTTCTTTTCAGTACTCACCAAGCAGTAGAAAGGCTGCTGTTTCCAAACTTTTGATGACAGCAAGACAAGTGGGTTGTCTACTGGTGATATTTTTTATGTTGTAGTTTTGCAATATTAATAGGCAGCTGAAACTAATGATTATTTTCATTGTCAATTAATCGTTTGGTCTATAAAATGAAAGAAGATAGTAAAAAACGAAAAAAAAAAAAAAAACTTGACGCCTTTTAAATATAGTGTTTCATCCAAGAATCCAAAACTTGGACGAAAATCCCAAAAATCCAAAGCTATATAGTTTAATATCATATTAGATATAGAACAACAGCAACTCATCTTGAACTAGTGAGTGTTTGGTATTTATGCTTGAAAAACTATTATCAAAGTTTGATTATTTTTCTTTTGATTGACTAATTGATTACTCATTTTTAACACTATGTGGAACAGATATAAAATCCAGAATATGGAGATGAATTAAGTAAAAATGCTTGTATGTAATTTTGGGGGGTTTATTTTATTTAGGATGCACGAGTAACACTTTATTACATGGGTCTGTATTTTCCAAATAATTATCCAGTTATATACTCTAAAGGCTAAAAACACATGTAATTTGGCACTTATTACAATGTTCAATTGTTACATATTCAGATAATTAATTGCATTTCACTGCTAGTGTAACCTACAGTCTTTTAGCAGGCTTTCGCTTTATTTAGCAGGTCAGCTGAACATCCAACAACATGAAAGTTTGAAACACAATTCAACATATGAAGAATAAAGTTTTCAATTATTAATGAATTATTACTTGGGTTTAAATGAAGCGGTTATTTCCCTGTTATTAACCAGGAAACGATTAGAGATTACAGACCTGTGAAATAAAGCATTACCACTGCAACTAAAAATTATTGATTTACTACGTCTATAAAATGGCAGAAAATGGCGAAAAATGCCCATCACACTTTCCCAGAACCCAAGGTGACATCTTGGAATTTCTTGTTTTGTCTAACAGTGTCAAACCTAAAAATACAAAATGTTTAAATGATAAAAAAACAAGAAAAGAGCAAATCCTCACCTTAGGAACCAGAAAATGTTGGCCATTTTTGATTAAAGACAAACTGACTAATTGTTTCAACTCTATTGTCATGTCATCCTCATATGCGAATTATTTGTTGAATGATGTTCAGCATTAATGTTCAAAAGACTAACTTATTCATCGATCAGTCAATTAACGGAAAATTCATCTGCAAAACTACTTTAATAATTTATTTATTTCAGTGTTTCATGCAAAAATGCCAAATATTTTATTGTCCAGCTTCTCAAATGTGAGGATGTCCTGCTTTTCTTTTCTAAGTATTGTTTGAGTTTGGGTCTGATAATTTGTAATCTATTCTATCTATTTTTGTGAAATTTAAATACTAAACAATCAGGAAAGTAATTCACAGACTGATCGAAAACAAGACACTGCCAGACGACTGATTTTTACAATATATTTAATTCGATTTTTTCTTACAAAACAATTCCCTCATAAACCAGAACACACAAAATGCATAAAGAAAACTGTACAGTCAGTTTTGTCATGTCTGAACGTGTTCTAAACATGAACAATGTTATCTACAACAGTGGTTCCTATCAATGTCTATCACACCAAGCAGTTCAGCTCTGCAGCCCCGTACTCGAGGGTTAAAGGAGGAGAGGTACAGAAATAGTCATGTGACACTGAAGGTAGATCCAAACAAACAACATAAGCTAGCCAATAATGTAGTTATATCAGCAAGCGCAGGTGCAGTCTCTTTGTTCTTGCTCTCCTTGGCTCTAGTAGCGATGTCATACTGCTGAATCGACCTTAAGAGATAAGCTGACAGACGTGACAATGAGGGCAGAAAAGTGACTTTTTCACAAGCGTCTGTAAACCGTATGTGACTGTGAGAGATCACTGAGAGGTCAATGATAATCATGTCGAAGATCTATTTTCATTACATGCATGTCTTGGATAGATTACTAATTTAGAGCCGTTGGGGAGTGACTTTGGATGGGAAAGTGACTTTAAGAAGCATCAGAGCCAGATTTTTTAAAATATTTTTTAACATTTTTTTTTCCATTGATACAGTGAGAAAATTGGGCTACCAATTTAACAACTCTCTCTTTAGTAAATGTATGTCAGGGAATTATATTTCTCTCAGTGCAACAGTGGTCTAGGAAACATTATCATTAATTCATTGCCTTTAAAAAGTTCATCAAAACTTTCATCGATCCAGACTGGATTGAATCACAAACAAGAACGACAAATCTGCTTCACTCCTGTGTTCACTTTTTTTCTTTTCTTACACAGCTGGGTTTCTACCCTACACATTGCATTGGGGAGTTACAGGCACAACTACGTATTAGGAGAAGATGATTTATATTTAATTTGGGCTGCTGTTTTGTTTCTGGGAGGACCAAAAAAAAACCCTCCAAAACACAACAACACACGAGCAGATATATACTCCAGTCACAAGACCCCCGCTGAATTTACAGTGGTAAACTTCTCTTACAGGACTCCGATAGACTTTTGTTTGGGGGAAGAAAAAAAAAAGTTCAACTACAAAATCCTAAAGGCTGTGAGTATTTGTGCAGTGATTACATACTGTATGTACAAGGGAGCTTCCAATCGCATTTCAGCACGAGAAAATATTTTCTTTCCATGCGTGATTGAACATTAAGTGCTTCTGTTTCTATTGTCACTGTTTTTAGATGATTTCAATTAAAAGCTATTTGCCTTTGTTTTAGAATATGTCTTGATACTGTACAGTTTGTTTCTTTTTAGCTGTTTTGTGCTGGCTAGAAAAGCTCAATTAGAAATATTTTTAGACAGGCTGACTATTTGTATAAACTAGCTTGTAGAAATACAATACTGAAAGTTGTTAGTTTCTCAACCAGGCAATGTCAAACAGCTTAGAAAAGATTAGTAGCTCCTGATTATTTTTTTAGAATGAGAGTAAGGTATTGACAGCTAAATATTAAAAGGACAATTTTTTTTTTCTGTAGTTTGAGGCTGGGAGGCATAAAGCGAGGAAAAAAGAAAGACAAAGCTATTAGCCCAAGACTGGCACCCACTTTAGCTCAATATCTAAGAGCCATCAAGTGTGTTGCTCGAGCTAAACATTCATGCATAGACCTTGGCACTACTGTCAAGAGGCAGGAATGTTTAAGAGACGCTATGTTTCTAGTAATTTCTGATAACATCATTACATCTGCAGAGAGTCTTGCTGCTAATGGATCGTCATTATAATGATGAGTGCAAATGGATAAAGCAAATTACACAGAAGATGATGCAGCTCAACCACAGGGAGAAAATATATATATATATAATATCGATTATTTTGACAGACAAAGAGTTGCTGGTGTTTATTCAGTTTCTGCCTTGGGACAGATAAATACCTGGTTTTTCAAAAGTAGGAATGCATTCTTTCATAATGACAAACAAACCTGTATAATTATTGTTATTCTAGTAAGTTAACAATCTAAGTATTCCTGGAAACAGTATGCATTGCTAATGTCTGTAAAATGTATCTCTACTTTTTAAACAGGCTGCTAGGTGTTGAGATGCAGCATATTTTTTCCTGCGCAAATGGTTTTGTTGTTGACTAGACAGAAACTAAAATATTTTGTCTTTATGTTACAGTCCTATAAGTAAAGCTGAATAATTACCACATGGCGACTACAGTCTTGGAGTTTGATCCTGATGCACAGCTCTCTGGAAGGATGTACAAATGCTCACAGCCAGTCAGATAGTTTAGTTGATGCCACAAGTCCTCAGCATGTGGGTCAGCGTAAACCGGAGTCATTACCCTGAGGGAATCTGCTAAGTGGCATTTTCAGGCTCCACAGCACAGAGTTGTGCTACAGGTACAGAACAAATGTGAGAGACAGTGGGGGATAGATTATACCATTGCAAGAGACCACAAGATGTACTGCTCTTTACTGGTTAGGCTTTCCCCTGCGAGCGAAACCATCCATTGTCGACGGCTAATGGACCAATCGGGCTCTTTGGATAGACAATGTAAATAGAGGGTATTACACATGTGCATAAAGCCAACCTCTGCCGGTATGAGGATAATGAAAGCTTTCAGAGGGAGGATACAGTACAATACCATGACAAAGGCGAATAAACAGATGGTAGCTTTTAAAACGACTCAGAACACACATACACTAAAGGCAGACAGGACAGACGGACAGTTTGTGGTGATTATATGCAGCACTGGTGAAAACGACAAACATTGTTGAGTTAAACAAAATCGGAAAGCTTTTTACTCTAAAAAAAGTGAGCATTGTGCATAGTTCATAGTTCATTAATAACCCCTCTTCAGGTACCTATTTGCTGTGATAACATGGAAGGAAGTGCAATAATGTACAATTCTGTATAGTTAAGTGCACATAGATCACTGTTGCACTGAATGGCATTGACACTTTCTCCCAATAGAAATATCACAACAGGGTTTCTCAATGTTTTCTCAATTACTCTATTTTTAAGTGTACTTTTGTTACAATAAACCCAGGTGTGTTTCCCTCTTGCTCAGTCCCAGGGTTGAGTCCACAACTTATGTTCACATAAATCTTTATTATAGGTAATTTGGCCTGATCTTTCCTTTTTTTCATTTACGTCTGTCCCTAATTCTACGTCTTCTGCTTTCTTTTTTTCTTTTTTACTCATACCTCACCGACCCAGACAACTGTGTTCCCTCTCTTGATGTCTGACACCTCACAATGCGGTGTTCTCTGTTTGCCGTTCAGGACAAAGAGGGACTCGGCTGACGGCGTCACCAGATACTGTCCAAACAACCCGCTGGAGACCACCACTCTGTTGGGGCCTCCCCAGGGCCAGGCTTGGGGGGCCAGGGGCTCCTTGAGGCTCCGGAGAACCTCAGTGCGGCCCGAGGACAGATCGGCAAATAGCAGGTCCGTGCCTGAGCCTGAGGTGGCCACAACCACGTTCTGGTTGGACTCTGTGAAGGAAGGTTGGAAAGCCAGATCAGAGACAACAATGGGCTCGTCCAGTTCCTGGTTCAGACCCAGCTCCCCCTGGAACGACACTGTCTGTACTATCAGCTTTGAGCTCTGTGGGTCAGGTGTCACAATGTAACGGCCGTCCGGTGACACAAAAGGCTGCCCTGTGATGTTCAGGTTTGGACCAATCACCGCGTCCGTCACGCTGTCGATCAGGAGCTGGGGCGGGGCTTGCAGGTGGCTCTTGCTCTGGCACTGGACGAAGTAGAAACCGCTTAGATGTGTGTAGGCCATGCTGAGTGGTATGCAGCTGTAGTTCTTCAGGCTGATGGTCTTGACGCGGTGGAAGGTCTCCAGGTCAATCTTGTGTACCGCAGGTTCATTTTTGAGGAAGACAAAGGCGAACCTGAAGCGACAAAGTTGAAAGGAAAGGTTAATAGCCTTTATGGAGTTTTGGTTGGGGGGCAGTGATTAACCCACATCAAGATCCTCATTACAATTCTCATTTGCTCTTTTCTCTTTTACTTTAGAAGGACAGTCGTGATGAGTGAGCGATGAGGTCGTCTGTGTTTTAAGGTCATAGGTGGCTGAATGTGTGTGCGCCGTTTTACCTCACGTGAGTGATGATGAGGTTGGTCGGAGGAATGAAGAAGTCGTTGACCCTCTGGAAAGTTGTGCGGATGGCATGATGCACTTCTCCCACACTCGCTTGTGGAATTACCTGTAGACACAGAACAGCATTAATATTAAATACAAATGCAGCCACGATAAAGGCAGCTTAGTTTTCCATTTTACAGACAGCAGAGACCCGAGAGAGACACCAGACGAGACAGCGTGTTTGCTTTTGAAGCGGGAAGAGAAGTGGAGTAAAGAGGCAACATAAAAAAGGTATATAATCTCTTTTACAATATTATTAAGGAGTATCAAATCAAGCTGTTCCACTTAGAGCTCCCCTTAGAGGCCTGGAGAACTTCTGTTGTCTTCCAGCTTTAGTGTGTTTTTGAGCTTTTCTGTATTTGCAACACGTTTCTCCTTAGGGAATTGTTTTTGGCCGCTGTTGCGTGTTTCACCTAGTCAGCCACTGTAGTAACAAGAAATTGCAGTGCAGAAATGTTATAAAATGTTTTTTGAAACAAAGTATCTCATTTACAGAGTTTGTCCACCACAAAGTTAAAATTAAAAATGTTTGTGTTAATGTAAAAAAAAGTCCAGTATCAGTTGGGCTCCGAGTGTCCTGTAAGATTTACTGTTGTGATCGTTAATACATGTGACCTCTTAACTTCCTCGTAGTGCTACGAGTTTCTACAAATGAAATAAAGACTCATATCTCAGCTCTTAACAGCGTTTCCCGGTGACATGCCCATATATCCTGGAACAGATTAACATCTACAGTAAATGAGCTGAACCCACCTCAGTTCTCTGATAAAGCGTCTTGTTCAGTGATGGTTGTCTTAGAAGCACACCAAAATAAAAGCCCCATCTCTCATGTCACACACCCAGCACTGAATCAGCATGTTTGCAAAGTGCATGCACTTTTGATGCAACGCCTTGTTCTTGACACACGCTTCATCATGCATGCCTGCGTGATCAGGTCACAGCCCAAGGACAAGTGAGGTGGTTTATGGGACCTACACCTGTGAAGCAACCAGTCAGCTTCTGCTCTGTAATCCTCCTTCCAGAGTAAAACCAGCTTTTTCCCTTCTGATTTTACTACTTTATATAGTAACTTGGCCCACTGAAGCGGCTCTAGGTTTAGACAGCTAGGCAAATGTTGCCAGAGAGTATATAGGATACTGTTTTAAAAGGAAAGAACTAAGTGTAAAATCTATTTTGATGTCTACACCTACTAAATTAAAAGCTGAACCTCCACCTGATGCCCAGCGGGGGGCCAGACTCCTCACTCCTTCCTCAGAACTATCAAATGCATGAAAATAAAAATAGCAGTTTAAGTTGCCGAGTTGTTACTTTTGCTACACTACTCCTCAAAAGCTCTCTCTCTTTCCCGATCCTCCTCACCATCTCATCCATTTTTTTGCAAAATAGATCTGCTTGTTTCTCACTGCTCGCTGGAAATGAAAGGAATCCTCATTAAAAAAAAAAGCCATTACAACAGTTGCAGAATACAATGATGACAGTTAATGAGTTTCAATGTAGTATAGCTCATGTATTATTTGGCAGCTGCTGTGGTCTCCAGGGCTGCAGGTGCTCTCAACTTAATGCCACTGGCTTCCCTTTGTCATCGCTGATACTTGGATTTCATATCCACACACTCAGCAACAAGGCCCAATTGAGTTTTACTCTGCCCCTGCCTCGCTGGCTGCCCTAATACCTGAGGGGGATTTGGTTCTGACTGAGTAGCTTTTGCTTTTCAACAACATTCACTCTCCAGAAGCCTTGAGTAGCTTCTTTATTTAACTTCCACTACTACAGTACATTGAAATGAGATGGAATTCCTCAAATGCTCCAGTGTATTTGGGTCATTTAGGGAATTCAATGAATCTTACAAGGCACTTCAGTGTAACCCTGCATGATATATGGTTACAGAAGTTGTGCTTAAAAAAAGTCAGATTACATTATGGGACTCTCTGGAAGACTCAGAGGCATGTTGCTTAAGATCAGTGCTCTCCATGCCTTTGTTTTCCTCCCTGAGGTATATATGATGCGTTTTATAAATGCATGCATAAGAGAGAAAGAAAGGAGATGGATGTTTGCCGATATATCGGATCAGATATTCATGTAAATCACTAATCTTACCCATACCCATCTGATGCTAAGATTTGGGGTTGATGACAAAAAATCTTTGCTACAATGTAAAGTAGTGAGTGTAAGCCAAGTGTCATTTCTTGTCACAAGATATAATAAAATATTTACTAAAATTTGAGGGGTGTACTAACTTGTGAGATACCGTATAACTGTTGTATTGCCACTATAAACATTTTAAATAATACCCAGCCCTACCTGCAACAACTACAATTTGGAATTGATAAACTGAAAACTAAAAATCTTGTGTCTTGAAAGGGCACATAATTTAACGACTTGTCCTTCATGCTCAAGAGAGATAAGACTGACAAGTGACAGCCTAAGAAATAAAATAGACGAGACAAACTAAACACGAGGATACCGGGAAACCCTTTTATGAAGACATTTAAGAGAATAACTGTAAAGGATGGAGACAGTTTTGCCAGCCTGAATTAAATACTTATCGTTTTCTGTTGTGACAAATTGATGATTTAATATTTTTAATGAAAATCAGTCTTAAATATATTTGGCATAAAGAGAAAATAGGGAGGAAACAGATGGTCCGTGTGTGCACAGAAAAACGAGTGCCTGTGAGTTAAATGTCTTCTTGGCACGTAGCTGCAAACTGGACTGACAGTCTGAAAGGCCATGTCTCTCTCTGCCCGGCAGAGATTCCTCCATTTGTCTTCTCTAATGAATTGACGATCACACTCCCTCTGATGTTTACTCAGAGATATTGAGCCATCTTAAAACTTGACTGCTTAAAAAACACCACACACACAGAGCTGAACGCACACCTACACACATTCACACACGAGATGAGCACACAAGTTAACATGCGCAAAAACAGACTTGCACACATGTATGATCCGCTGAAGCGAAGCAGTGCCTCTGGTAGTGACAAGCTGCTGCTGAACAGGTCAATTACTTTCAGTCCAAATGATAATGACATTATCAGACCATTTATTTGTGGTGTGATCCATGTGGACTCCAATCCATTATGCAGTTTCCCTGCAATTGCGTTTTTGAGTGATTCATGCCCTGCTCTCTAATTATTCATTACTCCTGAATGACTGCAGGAAGAAGGCAAATGAATAAAAGGAAAAACAAAAATGTGTTTTCTACAGTTCAGGCAGCCAGAAAAGAGAGAAATGTTATGCAAAGCTGCTTTCTCTACTGTAATTGTTTCAAATTATATGAGGAGAAAATTGTTTTGTGTGTGATGAAAAACATCTTTTCATGAAATGTTCTGCTTCATTTAAGACTATAACCTCGGATAGAAGTTTAAAAACAACTCCAACATAAATACCACGAGTGTCCTCCATAACAGACAACTACACAGATACAGACCCCCTGCTAGTAAACCTGGACTCCATGAAGAAAAGGTGTAAAAATGAAGAACAGGGAAATGTATGCACACAGTCTACTTGGCAATGCAGATTGTAAATCAGTATTTATCTGTTAAAACCCCCACAAACAGGTGGTCCTTTCACTACTTTTGTTTCCAGACCATAGTTGCACCTTTAGATCCAAAACAATCTACCACTACAGTTAAAGTTTCTCTAAATAAATGTAAAAATAATAGTTCAAAAGGCAACATTACAACTCGTTATTTATAGGACCATTTGACAAACAACTGCAGTAGCATTAACAGCTCCACAACCACTGATTAACTATTAAAAATGTATTTGAAAGCACTAGTGGTTGAAACTAAAGAAAAAGAAATTTATCTAAGCATTCGAGTGATTTACAGAATATGGAATGAGTCATCTCCCTCCAAAGATCCTCTGAAGAATCATAAATGAGAGTGTATCATCCCTCTGCAATCCCCATAATGAATAGACACAGCACCGAGAAGCGAACACAACACCTCACATGATTATAATAGGATCCTTCCCTCCAAAGGGACAAAGCAGAACAATAAACATGTTTGTGTCTATTACAGAGATTACAATGGGATCCCTGGGTAGCTTTACTCGTGGCAGTGTCCTCCACTGTTGCACAAGCAAACACACACACACAAATAGTGGTCCTATAAAAACAGCATCATACCTCTCCCACAGGCATGAGCTCTGTTCCCTTTCCCCTCCTCTCCACCTCCCCGTCCCTGCATCCTCCTCTCTCTTCCCTCGCCTCACCCAATCCCCCGAGGTGGATAAAATACAACCACACCTGTGATCATTTCTCATTTGTGAAGCCTCCAACACCAGTGGTCCAAAGGGACGCAAGGCACAAGCCGACAGCACCGCAGCTGTGAATTGCTGTTTTGCTGGCTGGGTAAATGCTCTAAAACATACATAGATTAGATGTTGTCACGTAAATACTTATCACATAAACAGGGACACAGGTATGCAATGGAGCTCAATTAGTTATGACGCACCGTTTTCCTCGCTTGGTGAACTTTCTACAGCTTATATAGATTATATTCTTCCAGGAAGATAATCGCTCATCAGAGTTCACAGATACACACATAGCAAATGCTGACGTAGGGTGGCGTAGAAAGAAGACAATAATAAAGAGGGGGTATTTTGCACTTTTAAAGCTAAGCTAGGCTGGATTTGTTGTAAATAATCAGCCTGATTTAAAAATTAGGCTGCAATAGAGATTCAGTCAGTTTTCCAAAATGAGATTTTAGTGTCTGATAGTGGGAAGTGTCTCCTAAACAGTAACAAGTAAGCACTCAGTTCAATATCCACTTATCTCTTGATGCTATTTAGCTGTCTAGTGCAGCTATTTGGCTTGTCTTTGTAAAGAAAACACTGCAAAGAACTACAGCAAAAGTAAACTATTACCTTTTTAGCATGAGACACACGCGCGCGCTTACCTGAAGTGTTGGATGTGTTCTGTCCATATCCCCCCATGTTAGGACCCAGACCTGGTCATGTGACTTGTCATAGAGCATCTTAACTGGAAAAGGATCTGTTGCTACTGCCTAGAAGACAGAGAGAGTGGGAAGAAGTTTAAATTAATTGTTCTTGAGCTGAACAAAAACATGTCCATTACTCACACGTTGAGCGATCATTAAAATATTGAAGGCATACTGGCAAGAACAAAAACCACACAGCAAAAACATATAACCTGATCAATGATAAACATTAACAATATAATAATATATGTAAGAAAGACTCATTTATTTGGCTGATAAATCATCACAGATATTGTGTACTGTATTAGTTACTTAGTTACTGGCGGATATGTTGGCCGATGAAAAAACAAGCAGCTGCATAATGGAGATGCCAAAGATATATTTGAGATTTTTTTTGCTCATGTTATTCAGATCATAACAGTGTGAACAGCCCAAGTCACATGGAATCTGATCTTTTCTAGTTCGGATTTGGCGATTCTGACATCACTCAGGAGTCTACTTTTCATTGTCTTCATTACTGTTTCTGGCACTGTACAGCACATACAAGTGCTACAACTTTCTCTTTCTGCTGGTTCCACCTGGACAACTAGCATACATGTGACGCAGAACCCTGCCAGAGTTTCAACAACTCTCATTTAATGGACACCAGCTTTGTGATGAGTCCTGCCCCCTACTCTGCCTTTGACCCTAACCTTAACCAACCCTAACCAATAGAGGCAACGAGTATTAACAGAGAGAGTGTTTACTTCTGTACGACAGTGTGCTGCGTGTGACTTCGTATTATTTTTTTGAGCATGTGTTTCACTTTCAGGCCGTGGCTAGTTCACACTGGAGTCTGATGTGGGCGACATTTAAAACAATAATGTGACACCATAAAGGTAAACCTTAAGCAGTTGCGGCTGCTTCAGGTTTGGTCGGCTCTTTTCCTCTGTTTGCTTCTTTTAGTGTAGTTAAGTGACTTGTTTAAACAGACTCCTTTCTTGTTTTATACTTGTGACTGTTGTTTTTGGAGGAGATTGGCAACTCACCAATAAAAGAAAAAGCACTCGCGAAGATCTTTCAATTCAATTTACTGATCGAAAGTTAACAAAATAATTTTCTGTTTACTGTTACTTTCAACACAAAAAAATTCAACATCAAAAAATTACCTTAAATTCGTTTCCCACAACTTTTTTGGTCACTAAACTCACTCCTCCTCTCTCGTTCAAATATAAAATTGTAGCTGTAGTTCTTTCCCTGTATAATACTACCTGTGAGGATGACCTAATTAGGATGAGGTGTGATCTATTTTATGTAACAGTTATTTGAAACGAGAAAAAAATAAAATAGATCACCTTGCTTTTCCATAACAATAAAAATAATAATAGGTTTACATTCTCAAGTGTAAGCTGTTATCACATCTTGTACTAAGCAGGTGTAAATGCCAGTGAAGGAGTAAGTTACAGCATGTGCACTTTTACTGTGTTCTGCTGGAGAGGGTCTAGTGAGGATATCTAACACACATCAGGTAATACAGAAAGAATAGAGAATAAGTGAAAGCCAGGAAGGAAATGAGAGAACAGAGAGACAGGAAAAAGAGAGGGATGTGGGGGTGGGGTGTTCTCAACCCTCAGGTCTGCTGCAATGTCAACAACAAAGTATAATACAATCCATTACCCTGCTTCTAGCTGGGTGGACAGGGAGCTGCTGACACCCTCACCAGTGGAGCGAGACAAGAAGCTCTGTGTTCAGTAATGGGAGGTCCAGCCTTCTGCTCTGCACTGGTCAGCCAAGTGCCAACTCAGCATGTGTGAATGTACATGTGAATTTGCCTTTGCGTGTGTTTCGCTTCCTAAATAATGGGAGCAGAGGCAAAGCGGAGGTCAAGCCACACTGCAGCAGACAGTGAGGCAATGGACTGGATTTCATGTCCACATCTAACAGTCGCTGTTATTGTTGAGTTTAAGTTGGAATTAACAAACCTGTTTTTACAAATTAATGTTGGGTATTATATTGATATAAGACAATATGAGCAACCTTTTGGGTTTGTTAAAGTTTTGACATTTGCTGTTTGCAGTGTAACGTTATAACAAAATAAATCTGTAACATTACATTAACAGTTTTTAACAATAAACCTGTAACCAGTTTGCAGCCAACGGTAAAAATTAACTTGATGGCAGCCAGCGGGGCGTAAATGATTACGTTAATCGACCACAAGTTTGGCAAGCAAATAAGCGCTGGTTGGTAAAATACCCTATTTTGCAAGCTCTGATGCACATGAATCTGTTATCAAACCTTTTGCCCCCTCTCCTCACTGCTTTTATTATCAAAGATCAATGTGGAAAACAAAATTGGAAAACATTTCAGGTGTTGATTCTCACTTATCATCCGTTTAAATGACAGACATTATCTATGGCAGATTATATCAGCTGTAGCTAAGTGATCTGTAGAGGCTTAAGTATAACTTTTGGCTGTTGTCTGGTTAATGGGCTCTTTGCAAGCAGGCGTACTAAACCAAAGACCATTTGTGAAGGAAAAAACACGTCTTTCTGTAACACCACTTTACGACCATTAGTGGACTTTGCCCCTTTGAGACAGAACGACACAATCCATTGCAAATAAATTCAGAAAAGAAAAAACGTCTCCTTATAACTCCAGAACTGCAAATAACTAATGCAGCATACTTTTAATGTTTCCGAATTGACAAAATGTAAATAAATACAGGCTAAAAACACAGGGTACAAGTTGTTGCACACAGCGTAACTGCATTATAATTCCCGCTGACATCCCCTAAAACATCATGGAAACTGTACAAAAGCACAAAGCACGATAAAGATAAAGCCAGAAAAACTGAGCAAGCCAAGATTCAAATGGTTAACAAGAACAGAGTGGCAACTCTCATCTAAAGAAATGATCTAGGTGAGTCAGTAGTGTGCTGCTGTTCTTTCAATGTATCAGATACATTGATTCAATCAGCATTTCGTATTTGTTACGACTTGTTCAGCCTTCTTTAGTTACTTTCACCATAGGTGAACTGATAGAGAGCCACTGCTGCAGAAAGTCAACAGAAAATCCAAGAACAGAAACCTCACAGCAATGAAAGCATTCATGACCAAAAAGTAAAAATACACATGGATGACACACATTACCAATTTCATCCATCAAGAAAGTTCAAAGGAAAGAAAAAGCAACAAAAACCTTATGACAACTGCAGGCCACCTCGCATTTACTGCAACACAAAAGAAACCACCATAGCAAGTTAAAGCGACTACAGAACCAGAGGTCTTTGCCATCTGGCTTTATTTTTAATTAGCCGATGTGTCGTTTGTTTTCATACCTAGTGGGAGGCTTAGCTGGCACAGGTCTGACACATCAGAGTCAAGGTTATATCCTTTTGTGAAAAAAAAAAATTAAAGATAACCAAGGCGCTATTTTCCTTGCGTGCAACAGCATGAAAAACTATGAAAGCCTTTCTTAGCGCACATGTTCACAGCCTTCATCTAGTGTCTGCTGGAAAACTGAAGGTTTTGGAAAAGTATGAAGAATTTTTAAAGGTGCACAGGACAACTTTTAACAATAGTGAGCAAAAGCATGTGTTGATAGAGGACCCGAAACTAAATGTCAGAGCAGTCTGTGCTTCTCTAGGATCTCAATTTCTGCTTCAACCTATTGTAAATTCTTGCTTTTCTCTATATAGGACTGCTATTTATTATTATTTATTAAAAGATCTATTGTGTTTTACTCCTAAATTTGTATTTCATGGAGTAGTTCCAACAGGCTCTAACAGGGATAGCACTCATCTTTGTTGCAATGTAAGTTTGTGCTTAAAGACGAGTGTATTTTTGTTTTTAAAAAAAAAAAGCTTTTTCATCATGCGTTCCTTCAGTGTCAGTGGTGAAAGTGCATTCATTGTAGTCTTCCAACTTCTCTCTTGTTCTAAAGGCCATTGTTGAAAGGAAACTACCGATGTGCTTCGTATAAAAAAGAGCTTAGAGATAACAGAGAATGAGAAGAAAAGAAATATGGGAGGATGCATTAACCTCCTGCACCCAGAGGTCCAGGGAGGGTCTTCAGGAAAGACAGACGGGGAGAGGAAAGAGAGGGATGATCAGGGGGAGGAAAGCAGTTTTACAATGTTGGATGGAGGAAGAGAGAAAAAGGGACAGTTGGTGGGCTGCAATACGCCAAAGGCCATGACATGAACTTTAAATGTTGTGGGACCATCTTATTTGCCAGAACACAACTCTGTTTTTCTTTTCAGTATAACCTCACATTCTTTTCTTTTTCGTAGCATTGTATTTTTGACTGAAAAAAAGATGCATTACAACAATTCATTCATTTTTTGTATTTAGTCTGGTTTTAATTAAAACCGGTGGAGCAAATATCTCAGCATGTTGTCTTTTTTAAAACAAAACTGGTTTAAAATGACATTTCTGCCCTGCTACCTGGACAGTTAGCTGAATCTCTACTTTCTCACTTCCCTCCCGCCTCCTTCTCCTTGGGTTAGGCCTATTTCCTCTCATCCTGTACCTCAGTATAAATGATGTTGACCCTGGGAAGAACCCCTGAGGGATTCAGTCTCTAAACAGCCGTTAAAGGCAAGATGAATGGTGAGGCAGGCAGCACCCACCTGGGTACCATATTGTTTCAAGCACTTGAGCTGCATTTGATTTATTTGGCCTTACATGTGGTCTTCTTACATTGGTGGCAGTTCAATAGTGTGGCGAGTTGAATCGAATGCACCTCAAGTTGGTCATGTCGTTTTATATGTAGCCACACATTGGATGTAAGGATGTATATCAACTATACAGCAATATAGCAAGGATTTCATCTCACCCCCTGTAGTTACTGTTGATACTATTCGCGTAGAGATAGTTCAGTTCCTACTACTTCAGAAGAGTTCAGTGGGAAAAAAGTTAATATCAGGCTGTTCTTGGGTTCTAAGCCTGTTTAGATGCTTGCTATAACAAAACAAACTTGTTAGATTCATGCTTTACTGTTGGTATTTTAAAACATTCTGTTTTTTTGGAAAGACTGAGGACGAAGACTACCCATTGTGTAAACACAGTGCTATCTCGGATATAAGAGTTTGGCTGGAGCTGCAAGAGTAAATTTCCTAAATTCTAATAAAGAGCAGGACAGAGCCACTAACATTACCATGAATCTGATATAGTAGCATCCAGGACCAGCTTCCACACTGTAACACTACATTGGATGTATCAGTTGTGACTAGAGCTAACCAGTAATCTAATAAAATAATGTAGTTAGTCAATTGTTCACTCGAGTTCTGATGCTAAGATTTATTCAATTGTTGATTAAATATGTATCTGACACATTGAAATAACAGCTGTAGACTATTTGAACTTTTGATTTTTTATGAGCTACTTCATCCAAACACTGAATGTCCTAATTCAAAAATCTGACATTTCTATGCTTTAATTATTGGTAGAAGATGAATGAAAGTTTAAAATGAAGAATAAGACCACTGAAACCGACGGGAAGTAATCAACTGAGAGAAGACTTATCACTCTCTTGGATTTGTTGGGACTATAGAAACACTCACGTTTGTAGTGGTGGTGTTGCAGAGTGGAGGCTTTGCCTAACACAGACACTGGCTGCAAAGAGCACTTTAACCAAACAACAGACAAGTTTAATCTTGTCCTGTCATCAAGGTACTCACAGAATGAATGTTGATAAGAGCTGTTATAACCTCTTTTTAAACCGTAAAATCAATCAGTCAGTGCTGGTTAATATGAGTCAGCTTTATTTAACAGTATTCCCGGACTGACATATTTTATTCAAACTTGAGATTGAAGTCTGCAGGGTCTGCAGTATAGACTCAGTAATAGTTCACATTGACATTACTGAGAGTGCAGAAACTTTCTTGAAAGTTTTCTACAGAAGCTTTATAACATCAGTCACTAACACATACATGAATAATTTCTAAGATGTTCTGAGACTATACTGTGGTGTGTTGCAACAGGCCCAATGCCTGCTCCACCCACCTGCACCACCTTCTGCGCTTGAATATCGACAACCAGCAGTCGGCTCAGGAGGGGCTGGGTCACGTAGATGTACTTATCCCTGATGTTGACTGCTGAGGACCACACGCAGTGCTGAGGTGACACCCCCTCACCTTTAGGGCACATCTCCTCCTAGGATGAACAGAGAGGATGATGGGAGGAGGAAGAAAGAAACAGGAGGAGGGAAAGGTTGGCAGGGTTTCCTGGTGTATCACAGATCACCAATATGATGCATTTTACTCGTACTGTGATGATATAGTATCAATTTACAAAATTCTGATAAGTGATTTATTTTGCAAAGCAAAGCAAACTGTAATAAAAAAAACAACAAAGTTATTCAGATTCTTGTTTAACATAATTTTGTTTGCTGTAATCATTGCAGCATTATGTTTTTCTTGTATTGGATTTGGAGCTGCAAATACTACTTTTTATTATTGATTCAACTGTTAACTTAATTTTTTCAATTAACAATGAATCGTTTAGTAAATAAAATGTCAGAAAACTGTGAAAAATAAAGTTGTTTTTGTCAAAACAACAATCCAAAGATGAATATAAAAGCCAATAAATGTGTCATTTTTAACTTGATAAATAAAAAAAAAACAATTGATCACAATTAGTGATTAATTTTCTGTCAGTTGACTAATTTGTATTTAATTGTATTTAAATGCATTTTTATATATACTTTGAATTGCCTTGTTGAAATGTGCTAGACAAATAAACTTGTCTTGCTAAATGCAGTACTTACTGGGAGATATATATATCAAAATATATCAAAAATATTCTTGTTACAGTGAGGTTTATTTGTATAGCACCTTTCAACAGCAAGGCAATTCAAAGGGCTTTCTGTGAGACATAAAAGGCATTTAGCCAAGATAGAATGAACACAAGAGAGACGCATAGAAACAGGATTTAAAAAGAGCAAAATAAATTATATGATAAAAATAAGATTAGAAGAGCACAACAGATTAAACAGGAGAATAAAAATGACAGTAGTGCTGGATTTGAATAAATAGTCCTAAATTTAATCTAATAAAAGGTAGTGACAAACACTTTAAGCCTTTTAAAAGGACTCAACTATGTGTACAATAGTCACTTCAACTACATAGCCAAACCAAAGGTGCATTCTGATGTCTTTAACACCGCATGTGTCATTCCAGTAATACTGTTGTTATTATTGATGCTATTGATAGTCATTATGATCATTTCCCTTAGAAAGCAGTGTTTAAAATCAGATTTTGCAACAGCTTGTAGCAACATCAACATATACCACTACTGACCCAAGTAACCTCGACAGGCCCTGCAACCTGCTGTCTTTGCTGACAAGACATTTATACACACACTCCTTCACATACACTATGTATACTTGTATGTCATCACTAATACACACACATACACATGCATGCACACGTACGTTGTGTTTCTACCTCCTCTCCGCCTCACTGAAGTGGAGAAACTGCTGTTTACAGCAGGAACTGGCTAACACATGGCTTATTGAGTTTGTATTGATCTCTAATACAATTACAGAGTCCTGTAAAACCCAAATCCCTCAGAGGAACAAGCAACTTTTACCATCTACAGCCCATTGCTCTGGGAGAGGGATGTTCTCCAGTGGATTAAAAGCCTCAGGGTCTGCAGTATAGACTCTATACAGTCTACTCGCGCGAGCTGTTGACTAATGGACACAAGTAATCCGATTACATTTAGTGAGGAGCCTACTCTGACAAAGGGAAGGGGGAGAGAAGGAAGGATGGCCTTCATTGGGGCGCAATTTCCTTTCCCTCTTCCTTTCACAGTGAAACTCTTCAATTTAGAATAATATAGATACATAGTGAAGATTCAGAAGGCTTGATGATTTATTACAGTTGGTATTTTAACAACAAACAAAACCTTAAGATTAGAATCCCCCTCCCTCCTGTTGATGAACACAACACCTGCTACTTTGCAGTGCTTGTTTGGATTATGATACAACAACCTGATTAAGACCTATTACTGGCGCTCTCAGGGGTCTACCTGATGTGTCATGATTATGTGAGTGCATGCCTTTCTTAATGTGAAAACTTACACTAAGTGACATCTTTCTGCCTCGCACATAACTTAATTTTTAAAAGGCATCAACTCAGCAGCCAGCCTGAAATCTATTTAGTGACATATGGACAAAATGCCATTTCCCCCCCATCTGATTGAATCTATTGCAGCATTAAATATTGATAGCAAAAAAAATTACATTACATAACATGCACTTACATAGGTAGCAACAATCCTCTCTGTCCGCTTCATGTGCCTCCGTATCTCACATTCACCGGGCTGAAGAACAGTGATGCCCTCATCAGAAAACACATAGAACATATTCCCCACACTCAAACCTGAGAGAGAAGACAGGAACACAGAAAAATGTTGACGTGCATGCTTTTAGAAAAAAAAGCAACACGTTCAAATTAAAAAACAGAATAAATTCCCACTCTCATCTTATCTGACATTTGTGATGGGCATTTCAATTTCCCTGCTGGAGGAGACGCAGCAAGACTGTTAGCATGCTATCGTGTTAGCTGAGTGTGTGGCTGCCAGCCATTTTGATAATGCCTATAAAAGGGCCCTGTCAGAAACACGTCCACAACATACTGTAGCAAGAGGCATCAAATGATAGGCACGGTCTCTAAGAGGAAACATTTCAAATCTCGTCTGCTCCGTTTAAACAGCTGCTGATGAGTTAGAAAGAATTGCAGTCTGATGTTATGGCATTTGGTAGAGCAACAAGCTATTACTGCTGTCAGAAGTACATCAAATGAGCAGAGACGTTAAGCATAAACGCATACACACACTTATGGCATGCATAAACATTTAAAAGATTGGTAGCACTTTATAATAACTACACACTATAAAGCATTAGTTAAGCATTAGTAAATACGGAATTCATCATTTATAAAGCATTGTTCATACTTTAATACACATTAGTAAGTCATTCATAAACAGTTATAAATGGTTTATTCTTTATTAATAAGCTCATCTATAATGTGCTTAATAATTGTATTTTCTTACTTTATACATGATCGGTTCACTATTTATAAATTAAGTATTTTAATGACAAACCATTTATATATGAGTTGTTAATGGTTCATAAGATCATTTGGAAAGTTTAAAAAAAACTGACATAGGTTAACTGCCTGTTTTTTGATACTTTCCCGAGAAAGAATATGAACAATCTCAGCATAACACGTAAATCTATCAGTGGCAAAGCCCAAAGGATGCTACTGAGACTACCTGAAAGATGCCCCAGCTAACGTTACTGGGTAAAAGCCTCAACGTTATAGGCCTGGTACAGTTTCTCTAAGACAGATCATCTATCACTACCAGCTCATCAATGATGTGCTTAATGATTGTATTTCATAAAAAGTGTTATTCCAATGAAAAACCATATACAGCCTATGCGCCTATGGTTAGCTTAGCTCACTTTAGCGCCAGACCGCACCGAGGAAGAACAGAGAGAAGCGGGCGAATACGCACTTGGAAAAACGAGATCACACGAGCCCAGAAGCGGGTCTTAAGTGTAAAGACACCATCACTCGGGATTTTTGAATGCCGTCATTTGCCGAAGGAGAAAGCAGAAAGGTGCTGTAATAAACCTGCCCAGTGTTCTCTAATCACACAGTTTATTTCTTACTCCAACACTACTCCTCCGAACCTAGGTTGGTAAGTTAGCTAAAGTGCTACACTAGTGTTAAATATTCTAGACCTGCCTTAAGCATTTAAAAACTATGCCACAGGGCTTTCCCCAGTATGTTGAACTATGATGCTAAGGGGCTCCCAAGTGTGTTATAAAGTGACAACAAGGGGCCATTGGTCCATATGTGACGACTTGGGAGTGAGAATGGGTTGTGTTGTAGATGGTTCATTTTATATCAACATTTGTACAGTTTATGCAGCAATAGTCTCTTGTGTTGTTGTTATTTTGTGAATGAATGGGTGAAAGGCATTATGTAATAAATAATATGTTCTGGATCCCTTTGTGTTGTGTCCGTTTCCTTTTTCTGTTCAGAAGAAAACTGATTCTTGAGTGTTACAATATCATTTGTAAATGCTTTGTAAGTTATATAGTCTTCACTTCAGATGAGCTCACACAAAGTACTTATTAACAATTAGTAAATGCTTTGTAACTACCGGAATTAATCATGAAATACTTTATTAACAAATGTTTAGAGAACATCTATTGCCTTTAAATTTCATTTGTAAATTGTTGAGACATTTATGTACTAATACTTAACTGCTTCAAAGTGTGTAGATAACAAAGAATAAAACATTTATAACTGTTTATGAATGGCTTACTAATGTGTATTAATGTATGAACAATGGTTTATAAATGATGAATTCCATATTTACTAATGCTTAACTAATGCTTTATAGTGTGTAGTTATTAAAAAGTGCTAGCAAAAGATTTATGCATTGACAAAAACTACAATGATGACTGATTTGTCAGGCTGTTAAGGCATTATTTTTGCGTTATACCGATGTAAGATAAAAGAGAAGAGAGAAAGTGAACACTCCCCAACAGTCTGAAACACGCTGTCAGAAAAACACAAAATATCCACTGACAAATGTGTGGATACAGACACATAAACAAGCACTTGCACACACTGTTAATGACTCTAAATTTATCCTGAGCGCTGTTAAACGCTGACATATAATCCAAATGCTTGCACTGCATTGTAAACCACACTGGCTTCTTTTGGTTCTGTGGTAAACCTGATGTGGACATGATGTATATAAAACCGATTATATTTGTATTGTACTCTAAACCGCAGTGGGTTTTCCAGTGCAGTGGTAAAAGTGTACTTGTAGCCATGCTGATGTGGTAATAATATATATATATAGTATTAAGGCAGGATGGATTTGTATACTGCTGAAAACCACAAAGTTGTTTTTCTTGTAGCCACCACAGTAGGTCTGTGGTATTATTTGCAGAATGCATAACATTTTTGCTTGTGTGTAAATGTTTCCTCCCCAAGTAATCTGAAAAACAGATTATAAAGCACACCAGAAAGAGGATGAAACACCTTGTGCGTGTGTGGAAGAAAGCAAAATTTGAAGTAAAGTTTTGCTGGAGAGAATAAATCCAGATTCTTGTGGGCAGCATGGCAAACATCTTGAAGCGTTATGTAGCTGCAGGCCCTGCAGAGCTACATAACGTGCCGGCCATATTTTCTTATTCACAAGAATACAAAAGCACTTTCAGAAATGTAATGTATTACCTTCTTCTCTCCAAAGAATGTTTGCAACTACAGAGTCAGCCGTCGAGCAATAGAAAGGAAAAGGGGAAAAAGAGGAGGGAAAACATTAAATCAACTTTAAAAAACAGACAGATCTTCCGAGAAACAGAGGTGGTGATTTCCTTCATGCCATGCCAAGACAAAACATATTTGACAGCTACAAAATATTCCTCATGGCTGCTGACAGGACCATATTTCCTCCTAAATCAAGACATCACTCTTGAAGACAAGAAGACAAGATGACAAGTCATCGATTATTCTGTTTAATTTCAACTGGCCCGATAAGCTCTTTCTAGGTAGCGATGGTTAACTTGTCAAAATGATGCAATCTAATGAAAGACCAACTATCAAAGAAACATTAAATATGCAATTTAATTGTTTAAATCCTCTTATAATGCCCACACTCAGAATATCCACTGATCCTTTTGCAGATAGACATCCTGATTGTCCTGGTAAATTGTGTTTTTTATTCGCACCACATAAAGGATATAAAATTCCTAAAACATCTCGTTTTCAGATGTTCTTCGGTGATTGCACTTGTGTTTGACCTTTGCTGTGTTTTCTTATACGCAATCAAAATTTGAATAAATCTTCAACAACATGATATTTTTATTTGTGCGTATGGGAGTCAGATTCGCTACATGTACTGTATCTCTCTTCTGTCAGGATCAGACTACACAATGTTTAAACAGATACGTTTTTATTTTAATCAGTAAAGCTGTCTACACAGGCTGTGTAACTACTTGTGTTTTCACTTGCAATAAAAGTGTAACCACAACCTGAAGCATATTTTTATGCTTCAAGTTGATTCTCTTCCGTTTCATATGCTTAACTACAGTTAACATTGGACAAGTGCTTCCAAATGCGGGTAATCAATACTGTGCCTAAATGCATCTTGTGTAGACACGAACAGAGGACTGAAGCTGCTGCTGTTAAGAAGTTGACATGCTGCTTTCATAAAGTTGTAAAATAGCTACCACTCTGTGCATCTGAGCAGTGATGTACAATAATACTGAAACTAAAAGACAGCAACACAGAGGCAATCATATTGTCAGAAAAACGTAATATTTAGCTTCTTTGTGTAACTTTAATCACTTAGACATAATTGTAGTATAGTATACAGTAATGTTGTAAAAATAGTATTTAAGAGGCAGCCATGTCATTAAGATTTACGCCAACAATTGGAATTATCTTTGACAGTGATGAGCTTTACATGTTTTTGTGAATTTACTGTTAAATGTTTTTACTTTCCACAGTAAAACGTGTAAGTTGATGCTGTATGACTTACGGGTCTTCTTGGCCGAATCTTCAACAAACAGAGAGGAGATATCCTCATCCACTCCCACCTCGTTCTTGGCGATGCAGGTATAGGCTCCAGTGTCCTCGTACCGGACGCTGCCAATAAAGAGCTCACTACCATTCGCTACAAGAAGAGACGAAAACAAAAAGGAAAACATGTTACTGTAAGAGTTTGTTGTTGGAGTACATTACATACACGTTTGAGACTGTTAGCTGGCAGTGCATTCATAATACAAGATTTCACAACAACTATGGTGTGGTTTCTTGAAGACCTCTTCAAACTAATTATCAAACTTAGAGGCTGACCAAATATCTGGACTAGAAAATTATATTTAACTTTTTCATAAAAGACGTAAAAAGAAAGAAAGAAAGAAAGAAATACATACAGGATGTAGATTTGTAGTTATTTGAATTTTACTCTTTTGATGTTTAGTTCTCAAACATTTAAATTCACTAAGCAGATTTGATGCTGGATCTCGAGGCGTTGATTCCTTATGTGGGAGTATAGTCTGACAGAAACTACAGACATGAAGTCAGAATGTGTCTGTATATCCATACAGATGCCGTGATCTCACATTCAGCACTCACTCATGCTCAGAAACCAAAAATAATGTTTAGAGCAAAATCAAGCGAAATAAATGGAGGGCAAATAAATAAGGATGGACCAGAAATGCTTCCCAAAAAGACTGAGGAATAAGTTGATACATCTGAGAAAGGTAAGAACAACTGGAAAGACACAAGGCTTGATGTGCAGATCAGATTGTTTTTTACCAACCCAAATGTTGTCACTATATGTACTTAATTAGACTCCAACTAATATCTTTGAAATGTGATAAAAGCAAAGCCATACCTTGGGAATACGGTAACTCATCAGCCGTTAATATTATTGGAAACAACAAGAAAACAACAGAAAACTGCTCTTTTTTATTGTTTGAATTATAAGACACACAAGTAACAACCTTGATAAGTTTCCAACTTTCAGTAAATTCACACAGCTGCTCAGTAAAAAATGATATAACTGCTTTTCTTACATTGTACTATTCTTCTGTACCCTTTTTGTCTTTCAGAACAAAGTTGCATTGTTTGCCTCAAGTTGCAGTGGTGATGTTAGATGGAGCTGACAGGTGATGTTGGCCATATTATGTCCCAGAGGTCATCATCAGGGGCAGACTGTCTGATGTTTGCTGTAGCATCAAAGTCTGTGATGTACAGCTGCACCCTGATCCTTCCTGTACTGTATGTAGCACTACACAGAACACAACTCTACGCACTTTACGGCATGGGGGGAGTGAATGTCACAGCGGTGCACTTACAGGCCATGTTGCATAAGAACATGAAAGACGCCTTCAGTTTTCATCCCTTTAGGTGCATGTTTTGAAGCATCTATAGCATCTAGGAACTTCTATATCTAACATTCACACTATCCCTCTGTGTGTCTACATCATTGTCTTCTGACATGTACCTGTTAAAACTTAAAAACTAGTATACTGTGAGTGTTTGTCTTCCTGCAGGACCAAATATTTACCAAAAAGCAATAAAAGCACAGACAAAAAAAAAGTCGTTCTCGTTTTTATGTTAAAAATTATCTCTACCTTCTAATTCATGCCTACCGAGTTTTAAAAAGACATTACAGAAGTTGACGCAAAGCTTTTCACATTAGTGAAATGCCTTTCTGATAATAATTCTCTTTAATCAGGGGAAAAGTGTGTAATGCTTTGAAGTGAAAACTGCCTTGAAGCAGGCCTTCATAGACACCACTTAAATTACTTCTAATTCATAATTATGTTCTGATCAATTCCTATTGAAAAAAAAAAATAATGATTCAACCACTCATTAAATTAGCCTTTATGTTGCTTTGCAAGCTTGTAGCAGTTCATGATGACAGGGATTTTGAGTGGTTTTGTTAAATAAAAACCTCCAGGCCTTAAAGCAGGTATAAATTATATTATCTGGCCAAAGCAGGAAGCTCTTTTCAGCAAAATTTAGCAGCTACAGTAAATAGCCATATATATGCCTGAGGAGTTAGTTGAATATTGGACTTACAGTCATCAGGTAGTCTGAACATAACTCCAAATCAATGCAAATGTTCCTTCACATCTGCTGGTGTGTATAAATAGGCTACTGTTTGCTAACACGTTTAGCCAGATCAACTTAAAAAGTGGTAATATGTCAGCGTTGTGTTTGCTGTAGTATAGAAACTTTAGCCAATGAAATCTCTTGATGAGTGAAAAAGAATGCTGAATCATGTGTAAACCAGCACTTCAACTTTAAAAAAATATCGGCCGGCAGAGGTGCAGTTAAAAAAGAAAAAACAGCTTGGATACCATGCAGACAAGATCAGACAGTGATTTGACTCTTGGGCCTCTGCTATCGCCATCACATTTTCTGACGCTTCTGACATCAGCAATATAATATACCAAAATAATCAACAAATTTGCAACATTATACAGGTTAGGTTGTAGGTTACTTGACCCTGTGCTATTGTGTGCATAGTACTTTGTGCTGGGAGAGACAACACACAGCACACTGGGCTCCGTGGTCATGATAATCCTTCCAGGCTCATACTTTGATTTATGTCAGCTGCCTTCATGACACTTAAGATGATTTCCTCTGTGGCTTTATAATTGCTAGGAAACAAGTCAAAGACATTTAGCTCTAGATTAATGAGGGATGTGATTTTAGTGAAGATGGACTTATTTTTTTGAAACTGGCCTGGGAAAACAAAGGTGTTGAGCCTTTCCCCCCCCAATGCATCTGGGTAAAGATTTATAAATCGCACACGTCAAGGTATCCCTGTAGCTGCCTTAAAATATCTCTCCATAACAAACTAAACAACAGGGAATATCTGGCAAAGATCTACAACAGCCTCGAGTGGTTTCAGCACCGTGGACAGCTCCACAACACGGTTTCATTCACACGAAGCAGTTTATCTCTTTACTGTTCAACTGTGGCTTACAATCAATACTCCTCACTATCAACTGTCAGTGTGTGGTTCAGATTGTACACCAGCCAACTATGAGTACTGAGGGCAACACTTTTTCTGGGTCTTTATTACACTACTGACATTATATGTGATATGTGGAAATGAAATAGCAAACCTCTACATCTGTGCTATGATCTTTTTTTATTTTTAAGAGTGGCTAGATATAAATGGTGAATCTACCTTTCCGCTCTATTCTTTTCACTTTCATAATTGTTTTTAATAGGGAGAAAAAGCATAAATTATCACTGTAGGTAGGACTCCTGCCCTTGCCATTTCCCACATTAGTTGGCAAATCTGAAACCGTAGCCACTGCAGTGTTTATGTGTTGGTGAACCTTGCAGAACCTCCCATGTTTGAGTGTCTGAGGGTTGATAACAGGCTATTACCACAGGTAATGACCCACGCACAGCCAATAAACTCTCCCTTAATGAGAACTAGGCCATAAAAAGAAAAGCCGTGCTCCATTGTGCTCCTTCTCTCTGATGTTGAGAGTGTGTCTTTAAGAGCACTCTTCTAGCCTGGATAAGTAGCTACCTTCTCCTAACACATATATTTTATTTTATTTTCTCTCTCTTAATCTCCCTTTTCATTCACTTCTAAAAAAATACATCTCTTTATTTTGTCAGAGGAGCAAAATGAAGACATTAGAAGAGGGTGACCGCAATCTAGGTTTCATCACCTTGGTATAGAATGCAGATAAATTGAAGACAACAAAATATTACAGCAGACAAGTGGCACAGCTGAATTTTCAATAAAAAAGGAGTTAGTTTGATAGAACATCAGAGTGATTGTCAAGCTTTGTTTTTACTGTCCACATGCATAGTCTTTTTCCTTTGATTTTTGCAGTGTTGCTGCTGGTATGCAACACTGTGCAATTCAAAAACATTGCACCAAAATGTATAATATGCTGACAGCACTTGAACACTCCTCACCTATGAGAGACAGCTGTTTGGAGGATCTGGGCTGCAGGTCCATGCCATTCTTCAACCAGAGGAGTTTGGGATTTGGGATGCCGTCGGCGTGGCAGTGGAGGCTGGCAGATACACCAGGCTCCTGGGCCTGCGTCTCTGGATAGACCAGGATCACTGGAGGGACTAGACGCACCAACACAAACAAAGCCCAAGACACAAACAGGGAGAGAGGAGAGGGGGCGAGTGAAAACATAATTACACACTATTTCATGGTAGACTGTAACTCCTGGGGGAATATAGCACAAACACCCACACGCGCAGTGGGCAGAGTGGAATTTGTTTCACCCCAGCATGGAATATATTCACACATAACAAGAATCCAAGAGCTCTGGGGCTGCTTTATTTCAGCTCGACTCCTGCATGAAATAGATGTTGGAAGTATCTGCCACTTACCTCCTCCTCCGGGGAGAAGACTGCAAATGAATGAGGAGGAATCAGTGGGGAACAGGTAAGATGTCATTTTCTGGTTAAGATGCTGGTCACCCTCTCAACCTTGAGGCCGCTGTCAAATCCTTACCTCTCTCTTTATCAACTTACAACCTTGCTGCTTAACCCTAATGCAATATTAATATTGCATCTGTTGCTTGCTTGTTGCTTGCTTGTGCTTTATTGGTGTTTTTTCCCCCCCATAATTTCTCTTTCACCCTATTATTAATCTAAAGTTTATTACATATTTTAATTGTTATCAGTACTGTGCACTGTAACTAAGTTTATTTACTCACACAGTGTACTTGAATAAAAACTTTAAAGGTACTTGTACTTCACTTAAAATGTTTCTGTTTTATCCTATTTTATACTTCTACTCCACTAAATTTCACGGGGACATACTGTACTTCCAGGATTTCACAATGTCGCGATCACAACTACTAACACAAATTCAGCAAATCCCTGTGAATTCATGCAATTTTGACCAAGCACAGAACTTTTCTGCAAATTTAACTTATCTCTGTTTTCCAGCTTGTCACTTCCTTGTTTACAAGTCGCAGCAAACGTGTGATACCAACGTCTCAAATTTGCTGAAAAAAAAAGAAAAAAAGGATTGTTTTGCAAAATGTGCGGTTTTGTGGTCGAACATAAAGGAATTTGTGATTGACACGAAATGCATGGAGGAAGTCAGACGAGACAGGCTGTTGCATCCCGGTCAGTTGCAAGCGCTGAAACAATCATGGTAAGCTGGTTTAAATATGCCGGGTTAGGGTTAGGTCCGTGAAATCCTGGAGGGACTGTTTAAAGATTTAACTATAATTTTAAAGTTAAAAAAAAACAAAACATCTACCATGCAGTTTTCACTTAATCCCACAATTTCATCTCAAAAAACGCCCAAATCACTGCAACTTTCAACACAATTCTTTAGAAAAGCAGCCGCGAAAACAGGCATTTTAGACCGCGGAATCCTGGAGCAACTGACTTTTCTACTCCACTACACATTTACATTTATCTCACAGCTAGAGATATTGGTGACTTTATATTAAGATTTTATGTAAAAAAATAAATAAATAAAAAAAAGGTTTTTATGATATAAGAATTTCTATACTATAATGCATTGTTGAAGACCTGTTTGTGACCCCTTACAAAAAGCAATTGGAGTTTCTTTTCATGTTTAAGATGTCTGTGATTTGTTAACCGTTCCATAAAAGACACATGTCCACAATGTCCTCAGATGGTTTCATAACTGTTTGAGACTCAAAAAGTTAAAATGTTCCAATATTTCACACAAAAGATCAGAAAAAATGTTCCTTCACATCAGTGATGAGACATTTTACTGCACAATCAATACTCTGTGTGTCTTTCGATACTTTATGTACATTCCGCTTATACTTATATACTTTTACTTAAGTAGAATTTAGAATGTAGGACTTTTACTTAATAACTTTAACTTCATTTTTGTTTTTTCTACTTTTGAGCCTGGTTTACAGATACTACATATCTCCCACTACCTCACACACACAAATTAAATACCCATCATCTCTTCCCACAAGCACGAGTACTTCTACTCACACATAGGGCTGTCTGAAAGTCCTGTAGTCTGTGTCTCCACGTCTATCTCTATATAATCGTTTGGTCTGTTTTTCTACCAAAATTGTACTTTGGTACAGCGACTCTTCCTTTCTTCCATTTTATACATTATGTACTTGACATTCCAGAAACATTCTTCATGAGCATTTATACCATGCTCTTGGGTACTATAATACCATAGAAAGAGTACTAGACTGCAACTATGGTTACTTCATCAATGCTGAAGCGCTATCATTCCTCTTGTCACAGAAAAAAAAAATAGCGTGGGTGTTATTGCTTTAATACAACACGATGCAAACCGTCCACTTAGTTTAATGTGGCACTTGGCTCCCTTCCATTCCACCTTATCTCATCTTGTTCCATCACGCTTGAAATGCCTTGATTCCCCCACACAAATATTTGATAATTGCCCTTGCCTGATAACTTGCCCTTCAGGACCTTAGTCTGTCTCCATGACTCCCTTCCCATCATCCTCTTTCCCTCTTTAATTCAAGGTCTAAAATGCAGCCGCTTTTCTTTTCAATTAGCATCTCAGAAAAACAAAGCAATCACACCCATTGTCTCTCATAATTGAAAGAGACTTAATTGAATAAATTCCCCCCCCCCCCTTTGCCACACTGAGACAAAAGCACAGAAATAAGAAAATGTATTTGTTACAGGTAGGGGGGATTTTTCAAATTCTTCCTCCCTGGATTTCCTTTGGAGCTGCCTAGAAATAACTCAATTCTAAAAGGCAGGGGAGAGGAAGACCTTTATGCAGATAATTAATATGAGCACGACAGTGCTTTGGTAAGTTCAGCTTGCTGTCACACCGAGGAGCACCGATGCCACTATTTGAGCTAGCGGTCTCTCCCGAGAAGAGCCGTGCACCTCCAAGTGTAACGTTACTATTTAAAAACGGTAACGTTATACTATTCTTTGTGGGGTTCATCTGTGGGGATGATTGATTCTAAGTACATATTAAAGGCAGTTCAGAGTCATCAATGAGTTAATACACTTAGAAGATGTTGTATTCCGTGAGATTCAGCAAACAATCTGAGGTGATAACTGCGTTTGATCAGCGACGTTTCTGGAAGCTTAAGAGGTGGATGCATAATTCTGCAGAACAGCTGTTGTAGGCTACCTGCAGAGATTTACATCCACCTTTTTTGTCATCATATAATGTGCGTTATGCCTGCAGACAGGTAGCTGGGCTGTAACGAGGGCAATGGTTTAGTTAAAGTGAGAAATTAGGTGTGTGAGAGCCACCTCTGAATTTGTTTGGTGCTTTAGAATTTGCCAAAAAAGGTAGTACAGTTCAATAAGAAATATAAAATAAGATCCTTATAATAAACGTTCAATAACATCTGACTTGAGTAGTTATTATTGCACAGTGTCCAGCAGCAAACCGTATATTGCACATATTAGGAAAAAGTGTATTTCACATTGCCACCCCTAATTACTGTCACATGCCAGAGAGGTTATCATGCTGAGGCGATGACAGAGTTCAGTAGCTTTATGGCTCTTTGGAAGAAGCTGCTTAACTGTCTACCCATTGTTGTCTTTACAGGTGCCAGAGGAGCTGATTGCAGAACCCTCCAGATGTGATTAGCTGTGTCCAGCTCTTCAGGAGAGAACAGCTCCAGCTTCCAGCTCCTGCTTTTCTTTTTACTCACAACACCTGAACACTACTGACATGAAATTATGACACTGGGTTCTTATCAACAGATTCTGTCATTATAATAACTCAACACATTTCAAGTCATACAAAACTACTTTTACATTTGTAACCTTTTAATATTGATGTTTTCATGAATGCAAGACAAGAGCTTAATTTATTAAACTATTGCTTTTGTATTAGGAATACTTTGTTATAAAGTGTATCAAACTAATTATACATAATAAAATCATTCATCAGTTTCGTATTTTAATTTTAAATAGTATGATCTAAACTTAATATATTATACACTGCTCAAAGAAATAAAGGGAACACTTAAACAACACAATGTAACTCCAAGTCAATCACACTCCTGTGAAATCAAACTGTCCACTTAGGAACACTGACAATCAATTTCACAATTTAGTCTCAATTAGCGAGACACCCACAATAACGTAGTGGTTCTGCAGGTGGTGACCACAGACCACTTCTCAGTTCCTATGCTTCCTGGCTGATGTTTTGGTCACTTTTGAATGCTGGCGGTGCTTTCACTCTAGCATGAGACGGAGTCTACAACCCACACAAGTGGCTCAGGTAGTGCAGCTCATCCAGGATGGCACATCAATGCGAGCTGTGGCAAGAAGGTTTGCTGTGTCTGTCAGCGTAGTGTCCAGAGCATGGAGGCGCTACCAGGAGACAGGCCAGTACATCAGGAGACGTGGAGGAGGCCGTAGGAGGGCAACAACCCAGCAGCAGGACCGCTACATCCGTCTTTGTGCAAAGAGGAGCACTGCCAGAGCCCTGCAAAATGACCTCCAGGGGTTTACAGCCCAACACCGTGCAGGACGTTTGGCATTTGCCAGAGAAAGACTGGCAAATTCGCCACAGATGAAAGCAGGTTCACACAGTCTGGAGACGCCGTGGAGAACGTTCCGCTGCCTGCAACATCTTCCAGCATGACCGGTTTGGCGGTGGGTCAGTAATGGTGTGGGGTGGCGCACAGCCCTCCATGTGCTCGCCAGAGGTAGTAGCCTGACTGCCATTAGGTACCGAGATGAGATCCTCAGACCCCTTGTGAGACCATATACTGGTGCGGTTGGCCCTGGGTTCCTCCTAATGCAACACAATGCTAGACCTCATGTGGCTGGAGTGTGTCAGCAGTTCCTGCAAGAGGAAGGCATTGATGCTATGGACTGGCCCACCCGTTCCCCAGACCTGAATCCAATTGAGCACATCTGGGACATCATGTCTCGCTCCATCCACCAACGCCACGTTGCACCACAGACTGTCCAGTAGTTGGCGGATGCTTTAGTCCAGGTCTGGGAGGAGATCCCTCAGGAGACCATCCGCCACCTCATCAGGAGCATGCCCAGGCGTTACAGGGAGGTCATACAGGCACGTGGAGGCCACACACACTACTGAGCCTCATTTTGACTTGTTTTAAGGACATAACATCAAAGTTGGATCGGCC